CCTCGATCCGATGGACAAGTGGAGAGGTTTAATCGAACGATTCAGCAAATGCTCAAGCCTTATGTGAACGATCATCGACACGATTGGGATGACCATGTTCTCTATCTGTGCATGGCTTACAGAGCTACAGTGCATGGAAGTACGCAGTTTACACCCAATCGTCTTATGCTTGGCCGAGAGATTGACCTCCATATCGATGTCATGTATGGGCGTCCGACTCAAACTTTTCTACATCCTTGTTATACCGAATATGTGGAACGGTATAAATCACTCAAATCACACCTATGAGATACAACGAAATCCAGGCGACAAGACGCGTGTGGTTTATGTGGATAATTTGCGACCTTTTATTCATGAGGAGACCCAGGAACCAAGTGCTCCCCTAGATGATAGCCCGGCGGATTCGGGGGAAGACACACACCAGTAGAGCCGTATTCGGAGGAACACACACCAGGAGAGGCGGATCTTCAGCCTTGTGAGGAAATAATACCTTGGTACGAGTTGACCAATCCAGAAGGACAAACTTTACGGATGTCTAAGCGTGAGCGTAGACAACCTGCATATTCTAAAGACGTCGTGTAAATATTTTGTGTTGACTACTGCTTCTTTCGTTGTTTAATTTTTCTAATGAAGATGAAAACATTCTTTCATAATGTTCCATCTAGAAGAGGGGGCTAATGTGACGACCCTTGTTTTATCTTTTAAATGATGTCATGTGATAATATTGCTATATTTTGTATTTTTAACACTGAAGACCTGAGGGCGCTGTGACACTGTCGATCTGTCTTTTGGTATTCTGTTAGCCTATGCTGCGGTTTGCAGCAGTGCAGTTGTGGTTGTTTTAGTTGGATTTTTAGTGTTTTAGGTTTTTCTGGTGTCTGTTAACCATTTAAACTCGGTTGACCGGTTAACCATTCCCTGCCCTAGTGTTCATCTGATTATAAATTTTTCGGGGTTACTTAAAATGTCCTCCTGCCATAAATAATAAATTTAGATATAACGATTCATATGTAAGATTTGGTTTCGCTGTAATAGTTCTGGAGGAAAAGAAAATCACAGTGGCACCGCCCTATCCCGATGTCGCTAAGATGGCACTAAAAATGCTCACCCCATTTGCAACTATTTACGAATGTGAGGCAGCTTTTCCTACGTTACTCGCTATTGAAACAAAAATGTTGAAACAGAATGGACGTGAGGCGCACCCATCTCATTGAATTATTTTAATGTCATTCAATAGAGAATAGATGAATGCTTGATATACCGCGTTGCCCTTTGCTCTCATTTATTTAGTGAACCGCGAGTCATAAAAATTGAAAGGGGACAAGGCATAATTTTTCAAGAAGTTCGAGAACCACTGTACTATGGGAAAGAAAGGATTTAACTTATTGACTTTTGTCAAAGTGGTCTGATTCATTACGACTGAACACAGCAATTTGAGGCTTTTAATTTATGTCATCTTCGAATTGCAGAAAAGTAACTGTTTGGATACTTGAAGATTGTTCTCACGTACTAACGTAGAACTGATAAAACAGAGTTAGACATGAGGCAATACTAGGCTTACCATACGTCCCGCTGTAGGCAGGACAGTCCCGCTTTTCAACGTCTTGTCCCGTTGTCCCGGCAGGTCAGCCAAATGTCCCGCTTTGGCGTTCAATCAGTCAGCATAATACACGATACCAATTAGAATGCTCTTGATACTGTTGCTGCTATGTAGCGTACCGTTAGCCTTTGTGGCTACCCTTGTTTTATCTGTTGGGTGATGTAATATAATGTTGTTTCCATGTTTGGTGTTTTGGCGTTGGGGGCGCTGTCGGTCGTTTTTTTGAGGGTGTGGCCTGTTGGCGGGTGCTGTGGGTTGGCGGGGTGCAGTTGTCTGAGTGAGGTTGTTTTTCGGTTGGATGTTTGGTTTTGGGTGTCTGAGGGGGTGCCTCTTGTTTCGGTGGGTGGTCGGAGATGTTTGTTTGTGGCTGTTGGGTTGGGGTTGGTTGGATCTTTTTGTGCTGGACAGTGGGCCGATGTTGTTGTGTGGGTGCGGTGCCGTAGCAGTTTGTTTAGCGTTGTGTTTTTGGTTGTTGTCATGGAGTTGGCTATCATCGGTGCTGTTCGGATGTTGTGCGCATGTGGAATTGTTTGTGGCTTCTGTTGAGGGTGTCTTCGATTTCGGGTGCGTCGGTGTTTTTGTGGTGTATGTTGCTTTCTTGTATTTTGCTGTCTGGTGTCTGTTGTTTTTGTTGTATGCTTTCCGTTGTTTTGGAGTGCTTGAAGTATTTCGTTGTATTAAGATTGATAATTAATAAATAGAATAAAATTGCATAACTTGAAGTGAATATTGAGAAGAACTTTGGCGTCTGAACTTGGATAATTATTTCATAGACTGCCGGTACGCTGCACCTTCTTACTGAAAGTGCGTGCGTAGTTTTGTTTGTTTCGTTATTTTGTTAGCGGATAATTGCTACATTTTCTTACGTGTAAGCCTAGCTCGTGCGCCAAAAGGGTGGCTAACGTAAATTTAATTATATTTTTTGAACTGGAACCGATATTTAGACAGACAGCGCATGAACTTCCGATTACAATATGGTCAATGAAGACGGTCGGGATTTTTTAAATGTAGGCCCCCAATGTAAAATTTGAAGGTGCAAAAGTCACTGCTATGGTGTTTGGAGGCGTCCCGCTTTGAGATCACAAAAATATGGTAACCCTAGGCAATACTAAAATATGCCAAGACGAGCTCGTGACTAGTACCGTCCAGAGAAATATAGATGGTTTCTTTGCGAACAAGCTTTCGTGCTGGGATTTGAACTACCGGATTCAATTCTATTTTTTTTTTGATAGTGTCAATTATGTGAAAATTACATTTAAATACCGAAAATCCTCCAGCAACCTAGCCCAAATAATGTATCTCGTCAAAGAAATACCGACAATAGCCTAACAAACAACTTGATAAACGCGGTATTCAATTGCTATCAGAATACGTATGAATAATTATATTTAAAAAATAGGTAATTGATGTAATCAACAGACACATTGCAAAAAACACTGAAATTCGAAAGTCTTAAAACGAATCCATATAAAACATTTTTCAAGCCGATATTTTTGTGTTTAATATGGAGAGGCCTGATTTTTGACTCAACAGTTAAAAAATTTAAAAATATAATATAACCGTTATTATTATAACAATATTTCAATTACGATAATATTGGAATATACCGTATATTTACATCGGTCTTTCACATCCATTGGTGGAATGATTTTTTTTTTGATCAATCAACGATTTATTTCTTTTTTACAACTGTTTTGAATAATATCGGTTATAAAAGAATCTTTATCAAAATTAAAACTATTTTTACCAACCGGCTACTGTATTCATGATATGAGATACAACCAGGGATGGTATAATTTTTTAGGGAGTTCAGATATTCCACATTCATGTTCGTCGGAAGGGGGCAGCATGGGGCCGAAAATATCGAAGCCTATATAAAATATCAGTTACGGACATCGGCTATTATGTAATTTGTTAGATACCGGTAGCAATCTATGTCGGTACCGGTACCGGTACTGGTAGGCCTACCCTATTTTTAAAATGCAATCTTTCAAAGAATATCAAAATATTGGACCTGTAGACCTACCGGGTACCGGTACCAGAAAAGCTTCGAGAATCAGTAGACTACAAATAAGAAAAGTATTTAAAAAAAATGCTGGAAACTCGTTGTTCTGTTGTTGTCTATAAATATACGCATAGGCAGAATTGGCGTGATAAAAAAATCAGACATGAGGTTCGCACAGAACCGTACCGCGTACCGGTACTGGTAACGTAGTGGCCAACTTGATAGTCTGACAGCAGGACTTGAGGACCAAGAGATTGTAAACAAAGTCTGGAAGTGGGTGACGGCTGACGGTAACAGCGATAGGAAATGTTTCTATCAGTACGGTACAACCGGTACCGATATACCGGTACCAGGGTCTCCTGTAGTTTTGTACGTACCTAACATACTTCTACTGCAGTACTGGGCGTAGCATAATAATTTTTTGATGAATCAATCCTAACCCCCATCTGACTACACCATCCAAAAATTACGTCACTACAAAACTACAGGAGACCCGCACAACAGCCCTAAGTCTAAATTGGCTAACGTTCCAACAGACAAACCCCCGGTTTCGGTATTTGTATAAGATGAGCAAAATATGTCTCTTATACCTGTATACACATTAAAATACATCCAGGGAAAATGTTAATGTGTTTTCTCAACATCGGAGCCTACAAAAGATCAAAATTACACTCCTATAGTCTTGAAACGTCGTCGCAGATAATGCGAAAAGACGGAACAACTCATCAGACCTCTTTGTAGTCGAGTTATCTCTGGTGAGTTGTCCGTGTAGTCAAGTTGTCCGTCAGCCGTTCAGACTGTCAGTTAATTTTGATTATGCTGATGAAAGTGAACGCTGAAAGGCATTCATGTCTGGCACAGTTTTCTATTTTGGTATAAAACAGTGAGATATAATATCTCAGCAGGGTATGACTGTATCTGCATTTCGGTTACTCAGTTACTTGAGAGATAGAATTAGGTTAAAAATTGGGGTCTGGTATAGTTTAGTACCACATGCACTTCTAGTTGGCCTGGATCAACTATTTTTGCATATGTCAATCCTAACCCCTACCTGACTACGTCACCGAAAAATTACATCATTTCGACGTCACAGTGGCGTAATAAGGCCCACCAAAGTATGCGGAAGGTAGTCCAAAACACGCAGACGATGATCCGAAATCAGGCAAGCTATTTCTCACGTTTTTTCGTTTCAACGATCCCGATAGGCAGATAGGAGCGAGATCGTCGGCTTTAGCGAGTTCGTTATCAGCGGCGCAGATGCCATTTCGGGCGATCGTAATTATACTTTGTCAAGCCCTATGACGTGATGATGACGTTATAGTGACGTAATTTTTGGATGGCATAGTCAGGTGGGGTTAGGAATAACATATGCAAAATTCGTTATGCTATGCCCACTGGAAGTACTTGTGGTACCAAACTATACTAGACCCAAAAATTGCATACTATTTAATCGGTCTATTTTTATTGCAGTCTATTGTAGTCTTATTATTGGTGATATTACATTGTACTACATATGGCCAGTGGGAATCATATTCCTAAACGACGCAGTTTTCCACAATCTAGCTCTTCATTTGGATATCAAAATGGAACTTTCTCGCGTCCCGTTAGTTACTCACAAGGAGTTAAAACACCCTCCCATGTCTCAGCAGCAATCTCTTCAGAAATGGTCGAACAGAAAATGAAAGATCTAACTCTTGAGGTTGAAAAGGAACTCAATTCTCCAGGAGGTTCCGAACCATATTTTGGACGTTGTGCAAAATGCAACCAAGGCGTTTATGGCCATTCTACTGCTTGTCAGGCAATGGGTAAAATATATCATAACACATGTTTTGTGTGTGGATGCTGCAGTAGAACATTAAGAGGTAAAGCATTCTATAATGTAAATGGTAAAATATTTTGTGAAGAAGATTACCTTTATTCAGGATTCCAACAAAGTGCGAAGAAATGCCATGCATGTGGTCATCCTATCATGGAGATGATTTTACATGCTCTTGGAAATCCATATCATCCCGGCTGTTTTCGGTGCTGTGTATGCAATAAAGGACTCGATGGAGTGCCTTTCACAATTGACATAGAAAACAAAATATACTGTGTAGAAGATTATAATAAATTGCAAAAAATTTATGCTCCAAAATGTGCCAAATGTCAACATCCTATTACTTCAGTGAATGGACGTAAAGAAACTGTTAAAGTAGTCTCCATGGGGAAGGATTTTCATGTGGATTGCTTCATTTGTGAGAATTGCGGAATTCAATTAAACGATGCCAGTAAGCCTAGGTACTTTCTTCTAAATGGCAGACTTCTTTGCCATGTTTGTAGAGATCTCCCCCCACATCATCAAAAAACAAGAGGTCACCGGCATTCTTTGCAAAATTTTCCTACAACGAGTCAGTATGGGAATGGCCAAAGCAAATCAACAAATGCTGGTGGTAGTCCAGTCCGTGTAAGGTCATTAGAAATAGACAGACATCCTTCCTCACCTGTGACTCAAGTACCACGAGTAAAATCATGGCATCCAACAGCACAGTGAATGCTAGAGTTTGAAAAAACTCATCGATGATATCTAAGTTTACAGATTGGTACAATTATTTTAGGGTTTTGGTGTAATATGTGATTTACATGTATGTTACAAAATCTCAGATAAAAATTTTAAGCATCAAAAAATTTGTGAAAGTGTCAATTACCAAACTCTAATCCTTGTGATTATTTATCATCTTGCCATTTACAAAATCAGGGCACGAGTGGTTTGAGGACAATCTTTAGAGACACTGGTCTAGATTAAAGTTGCTGCAGATCACAATGACTTTTAGATCGCATGTTAGTTACATCGGCCCATTTTAGTATTCATTCTGACAAAATCTGACGTTTTTGATAATGTTTGTTTCATCAATCATAATGTACGAAAGTATTATTGCACAGTATCCTTCCAGATTCTTTTTTTGTTATGTCATAAACAGTTATGACATGTTGCTTAATTTACGATTTTTAATGCTGCCAAAGACACCAACATACACCAAAAGTAAATTTGTTGTTTTTTTAACAATTTGTGTCTCTTTACATCTATCATTTCAATCAACCACAATTCTATTATCATATAGCTTGCCAATTTACTATCTCTGTTCAACTTATTTGAGCTTGCTCATGTCATTAATACTATAAAATATGTGTATGCGCTAAATTTTCAAAACCTGTCTTTGAATTGAATTTTTGGGATAAAACTTTTTTTTAGATTGAAAAATTTGTAGCCTTGTTATGGGATCAACTACATAATATCATGCAGTTAGGCCTAAATGTTTTGTCATATTATTTATAGCATCAGTGATGACTTGGATGTGTTATATTTTTTTCCTGGATACTAATGATGAAAAAATTAAAGATTACCGGTAGTTACAAAGCATAATGCGTTTGATTATAGCAAAATTTTGCAAAGTTGTAAATTTACTCGGTTCTTATAGCATAGTTGCTCATAAGTTGTCCTTTTGTTAAAATTTTTATCATGATATTTCTTGATTTCACTCTGAAATGGCTCTTTATACAGGTAAGTATCCACTGCTAGTAAGAATCTATTTTAGCATAAGAGGGCCGGTGTCTTTTCAACTTAGCATGGCCTATCCAAATATTACACCTTGGTTGAGGTGGCGGGTATAGATGGGATTAGAACCCGAGATTTCAACATTGTCCAATGTTTTAACCCAGGGGTGTGCAAAACCTTTAGTACAGGAGAGCCAGATACAAATAACTGGGTGAAACTGTGGGTCCCACCTTTATTTAACATAAGCTTTCTGGTAGTTGCATGCACAAAAATTTTGTTTATTGATCTTATGACATGCGGTATTCGCTTCGCGCAAGCTAGCTGTTAGGGCATTGTGAGGGATTGGAATTACTTGTACGTACCAGAATAAACTAAATAAGAAACTCGTTTCGTGGCCTGCACGCCATTCAAAATTGGCAATTCTCCGCGGGTCGCACAATTTTATCTTGTGGGCTGCAGGTTGCACACCCCTGTTTCAACCACTTGCCCTTTGCGGTACATATTTTATAATGTAATGATTCAGCATCTAATCTCTGATCGCTTAATTAATTTTGCCAACTGTGCCACGACAATTTGCACTACAAAATCTTTCATATAATGAATTTTTTACAGTTAAGTTTATCTTTTATATTGAAACCTCTGTACTTTATATCTAACCAACAATGACATATTTTGGCTACATTTTGTATATACTGTATTCTATATGTTCTTTGTTATGTTTAAGCATTTCCCTTGCCTATGTTTTTATGGTTATTACCTGTGGATATTACATTATTACAGTTTGAATGTTTAAAATTGTAAGCCTGGCCAACATTCAGTTTTTATCGTTTGTTTCCTATTATAATTGACATACTTTGAAGATATCTAAGTAATAGATTTTTGCTTGAATTGAATTGGGAAATTAATTTTTGAGAATCTACTTTATTGAAATTGCTTTTTGTTTTGTCATAATGATTTATACTTCTGATCGAATTATTTGGGAGTTCAGGGTTATCAAAATGTTGGATATAGATATCATCACAATGTACTAATTCTTGCCAGCCCTTTACATGCCATTATTGTCCAGAACCCAGCTTATTATTTTTAATTTTATCCACTGTTCTTGATTATTTTGAACTTCTCATCTTGGTCACCACTATTTTTTACCAACTCAAATTCATGTTCGCTTGCTTGTTTGTAAAAAATCTTGTGCCTAATCAGTAGTCTAGTAATTACTTTATTTTATATACGGTACCTGTTTTCTTGCTTTCATTCCATTTTTGCCTTTTTTCTGTGATTTAAATGTTAAGTTAATGATGATTACATTCCATAGTATACATTTCAGAATAACATTACGGTTACAAAACTTTATTAAGAGAACAAACTCAAATCGTTTCCAATCCAAATATTTACCTAACTGCATCGATCGTCACCCATTTTCAACTGTATGAAATATTGCCAATGTTTCACAATGCTGCTACCCATTCCATTGTTTTGCAATAATAGCTAGCTAAAACCCAATCATTTGTTGCTTGCTACATTGAATTAAGATGTAAAATTATGATATTCAAACAGCAAGAAATAAACAATATTTTTAATTTCTTCTTGCCAAACAAAGAATTGTGATTAATTTTTGGCAGAATATGGTACTAACTTTTGGGTAAAGAGTATTCTGTGTAATTTCTCTCTAATGTAAAATATAAAAATTTCCAGGTATGAAAATTTACCATTATTATGAACATCTAAAATATGAGATTCATAAATAACAATGGATTTGATATAGCAGGCAATCAACTTTTTGTAATATTTATGTTTTACTTGTCGAGGAACTGAGAATGAAAATGTTTATAAGTTGTTCAGATGTTTTCAGATGTTTTTAACCGTTCTTTTCATATTCATCATGACTGCTGTTTTTTAAATAGCAATAGGCTGTTAGCATTGTTTTTGTGTTTGTTCTGCTATTAAAATCAATCTTTTTACCACCATGACCAAGAAAGTTCCACATAGTGGGGCAAAAGTTTTTTCAAACAGGGATTATTAGTTATCTATACTGATACACATTTTAGTTTGGACCTGTGCATATGTGCAAAGTTTGTACGAGGGCTCTTTATTATTCGGAATGTCGTGAAGTCCTCGGCGAAAGAAAACCCGTAAGGTATAAGTGGGCGTCCGTTGCTTATCAGGTTATGGTTTGTGTGCAAGCAGTTTAGTTTGACACGTTGATACGAGACACTATATTTTAAGACTGATAAAGAGCTTCGAATTAACGAATAATTTGCCGGGTGAGGCATATTTTTCGTTTTTTTTTTGTGTTTGGCATTTTTGCTGTCGTGCTGCTTGGGACCTCCCAAGTATGCTGTCGTTTTTTCAATCTTCGGTCGACGGCTCAGATGTGCTCTCTAATTAACGCTTGTGCATCTGTCTGCTTGGCCTCTGGCTTTAAATTGTTTTGGGAGAATGCTAATTTAAGCACGTAATTGGCGGCTTTTTGACAATTAAATTACCAAGTGCATTACCGCGCACTCAAACAGAACAAGTGGATATTGGAGTGGGATTTATTATCGTCAACTGGCATATTTTTCTCCTTTGTAAAAACAACGCTTGTTATGACCAATGTTTCTGACGCAATCAGAAATAATATTCCTGTCTATCCATCAAATTTTGAGTTCTGAATTAAGGGAACCGCCAATATGTAATTTTATTCAGCCAGACCAATGTTATTCCAAAACCATAATATAAGATATGCCTTTATATCAGGGAATAGTAATGTGCACAAATTTGTTTCAATGGCGCGTTTAGGCTAACGACAACCAAAATAACATTTAATGGATGCTTCAAGAGGAACTCAGTTTCGGGGTGACTGAGCCCATGGTAATTGGAGAGGTGTAGGATATCGGGCGTGTCGACCCTTTTCCCCAGCCTTGTCTTTGATCAAGAAGAAACCGTGATCTATGTATAAACACTTCTCAAAAACCTGCTGAGAAACGACCATGCTTGTCAGTTGTCTAATCCAAAATCTAATGTGCTATCAGAAGTCTGTTGTGATCAGGAAACCGTAAGGTTTTGTTGGACTGAGAGGCAACAAATACAATTGGATGACTTATTTTGGTTGTTTACATCGTAGTAACAGGTAGGCCGGATGCCTTTGTTGACATCATCGCATTGGAATTAGCGAGCAAAATAAATGTGATCTGAGCCGAGCCAATCGTGAGTCTTTTGGACTCCTGGCATTGGTTGAAGTTGTTGATTAAAATACTCTCAATCTGGCATCCTTCGTATTATTGACAAACGTGTTTCGGCAGCCCTTTTCGTATGCGCGGCTCAAAGTCATTATATGATGACATATTTCTATACACAAGTTTATTATTTCAATGATTGCACAAGGTTGAAATGAATTAATAAAAATTGCGACAATGACTAATATAAATATGGTTGAAATTGGGAGTGATAACAGTAATTAAAGGCTTTTTAATATAAACTAAGGTGTACATACAAAACAAGATGTTTGATGAGGATAAAGTTAACTGCAAAAAAATAAAAAAGGCCGCTAATTTCAGCCTATCGAATTCTATTTTAATTGACAAAATTTTGCAATTTGAATATTGCGGCCTGCTTGTGAAGCATAGGAGTACGCTATTTCAAGATTCAGCCTTATGTGAAATGTATATGATACAGCTAAAATATACCATTTTGCCAAAACAACGGCCCGCACCTTTGGTTCACAGAAATTTTCATTTGCGGCGGGAATTAATTCTTTCCCTGTTTTGAGATTTTAATCGGCAAAATCTTCAATCGTGTTGATATTTGCCAAATACATTACAGTTTTCGACTCGTACTGGAATTATGAAAGTATAATCGCTTTCGCAATCTTTATTTTGGATTATATGTATATGGCTTACAGTCAGTTATGTCTTTTATTCCAGTTGTCATAGCTTTACTATTTTATGGCTTCACACAGCTTCGGTGGTACAATTTTTTGTTTGTTTCAGTAATTGCCTTTTCAATTTCTTCCAGTGAAAATGGATTTGGACTCACTAGTTCTTCGTAAGGATATGATTCAGCTGTACGGGATAAAAATTCCAGTGCTCTGTCTAGATGTCGAGGAGTGTAATTGTGAACGCCTCTTATCGTAATACATTTACGAATAATCTGAAAACAAGGATTTGTATTTGTAACAAGAGAGCAGTGCTCAATTAGATGGACGCAACCTCGGCTCGGCGGGACTCCTCGCCACCGTGGGGTGGTTCACGTGAAGTCCATGCTTCCGAAAACAAATAACTGGCTAACTAATTCCATACCCGACTTGTACTGGTAACCGAACGAGGGGCCGTGGTTCCCCATATGATTAACCCGTCTTATCGGCTTCCATCTTTCCTGGGGTAAATATATAAATCCTATCCCAACCTATGTCGCGTACAGTCACAATAAGACCTTAGCTTAACAGTTAACAACAACCGAGTATGAAAATATTGGAAGATAAGCGTGTCGGATCAAAGTGTTCCTATTCCTTATAAAAAGTGTTCCCAATGAATTAAAATATATATAACAAGAAAATTTTGAATGAAGCATCAGGTCCATTACAACTCAGAGAAAGTTTGAATAAAACAAATATATATATAGTGCCTTTTCCATCTTTAAGTTTAAACTCGATTGATTCGTTAGTTCCCGTAGAAACTCAGTAACAACAATCATCCCTGAAACAATTTAGTTAATTAAACAGCCAATATGTAAATTTCGTGCCCAATTAACATGGAATATTTTCGTGAACGTCTTTTCATGCGTGGCAATGCTAAAAGCAAGAGCTAGGACCCTATTCGAGGGAGTGGAGAAACGACGGGATAAAGGTGACCAAACGTTACTGCGATAATGAATTAAACTCTTTTCCAATTATTTCGGAAATAAGAAATGCTATGAGATGGTTTTATCATAGATGCCTCTTTCTATTTACTAGTCCACGTTATGAATAGTTATTTGCGCGCTAATCGTAATTAAGTACTATATTGCTAATTGCAAATCCACCTCTTTTTTTAGAGTTTTTGGAAAAGTACTGAGAACGGTAGCAAAGTACAAACTTCAGAATCAACCAATTTACTGCTTTGTAAAGGATTACTAGAGGGCAAAAGAATTCTCTTCTTAGATTGATTCAAACGGTTCACAATTTCCTAAATCGTACCTGTTCGCCGGTTATTGATAGATTTGAATTTGGATGAACCAATCCAACAAGAACTAACACTCCACCATGACGCAATCGCCGATAACCATCTTGGATGACGTCAGGATTGCCACAAACTTCGATCACAGTGTCTACCGAGTCCACTACAAAAAAAAATTCCAACTGTGGATTTTTGTACATTAAGCCTTAAAGCAGGGGTCGGCAACCTACAGCCCGCGGAGCAATATAATCCGGCCCGCGACGCTCCACTGAAATATAGTAACAAAACAACTGTTTTGCCGATTATATTCTTTACGTAACAGAATTTATTTTGAGACACGTGTAGACTACATTATATTATATTCTAACAAGTATATATATAATTCTCGTTTAATAAGCCTATAATTTTATTATAATTAGACAAATGGCAACAAAACGTGGAAAAGTTGATGCCGAGTCCAAATGGTGCAGAAAATATTCGAATGATCAGTCTTCGCGCGCTGCTTAAAATTTAACGTCGGATCTGTATGAAAAAATGTGATTCATTGGCCTTCCATTCGGTTTTTAACTGTTTAAAAATATGTGCGGCCCGCCAATGACTTGCAACCTTTAATTTTGTCCTGCAAGCGATAAAAGGTTGCCGACCCCTGCCTTAGAGCAAAAAACAGTACATTTTTTTTATCTACTCCAGAATTCCAATTACCCTTTTGGTTAGGTCTACACCGTTGATTATCTATTTGGGTTAGCAAACTTGAATCACGCGGAGGATAATTGTGCGTGATAGGATTGCTAGTCTCCTCAGAGATTCATAGCATCAATCACTTAACTTTTTTTGTCATTTTCAGTTATCCCCCTCAGAAAGAATTATTTTTCAAATGTTATTCATAAAATCATTTACTTGAAAAAAACTCTCCAGTTACCTAAAAATTCATCATCTAAGAAATCTTCTGGGCAGATCGCCTTTCCTCCGAATTTGGAAACAAATTTCAAACGATTTCGGTCTATGTCACAGCAGAATACTTCATCATATCCGTTGTCTCGCAATAGAGCGCACCCGTATATTCCGAGTAGACCTGCTCCCAATACCAAAGCTGTTTTGTCTTGTACATTTGTTCTGAAAGAAGGGAATATTGTATGGATGTTTAATATTAGAACAGTTGCCAACAGAGTAGTAACCCGCTAAATCAACATTCTCCAACCGGAGAATGAGTTTTTTGTGGGTAGGAATTTTGTTTCTTTTTGAATGAAATTTTACTTGATGTCTTTGTATAGTATTACTCATATGTTATACTTGAATGGTATATTATTGGGCGCTCCAGAAGTACGTGTACCAATATGGAGGTAATTTTGTTCGCTTACTTTACATCAAGTTGTTCAAAGGGACTGAGGCCGATGGGCAGTGAGTATATTCACTTGGCTCACACAGACAGTCCTGGACTCGTAATATAACTAAATTAAGAAAAATCGGAATAAAATTATGTCCTAACCCTGACCTGGCACACATACTACGGGAGTACCTATTATTGTTATACATGTTTGTGCACCCTTCAAACAGAACATTATTTGGAGTACTCATCATTATCTAGCGATCCACTAAAGAGTGAACAAACAAATAAAAACTGTATAACGTACAGGCTCAATGCACGGGTAAGCGTCGTATTACGTCATTATATAAAAAAGAAAAAAAGGCCACACATACCCCCTCAAAAAAAAATGATTTTGGCTGGTTAGGCTCTACTGAAGTAGAATGAAAAATTTAAATAAAGGGAATGTATCACGAGAGGTTGGGAATCATTCTTTAAAGTTCAAATGAAGCTGATGTTCTCATATAGTCTCGGCACAATGTGTCATAGAGCCCATTTTTGAAAACTCAAAATTGTAACCGACCCGAAAAGTCGTACGCGACTAACATTTCCGCAATTCAGCAAACGCATTGCAGGCTACATTTTTATGAAGCTCAATACAGAAGAAATTGAAACGCTTAGCTTTATTCGGAAATATAAAAATACAAGAGGGCAATATAACTTGCATATAAACTGCAGTTTTACCAGGATTTCAACGATCTTAGTATATATTAAATATTTTAGCCTAGCTCCGTAATTATAGAGTTGATTCGTCACGATTCCCCTAATATATCCCCATTTGCATTGAAGATAGGGTACCTAATTTCAATTGCAATGATTTCTCTGCGATAAAAGATATAACGTTTGTCATCAATTTATTGAAAACTTTTCATAATCAAAAATATTAAACTAATATATACATAAAAATATTACGCGATTTCTACTGCTTATTTGTAAAAATGTTCTATTTTCCAAAAATTGTATATTTTAGTGAAATTTTCAGCAAAACGTGTATGCGAACGTGCATTACCCCGCAAGGTAGAATTTATTGTTTATATATATGTATAAGAGATACCCAATAAAAAAAATATTTCTTTTAATCTTCAATCCGATACTATATTTCAACGTGTATTCAGAATACAGGAAGGATGGTGACGATGATATAATACTGAATTAATCTAAATCCTAAAGTGTGAACTTTGTATCCAATTCTGAAGTCAAATCCCGTATTCAGTAAATTCTTGAACGCTTTTTCTCGCAATGCGTTATCTCGTTGGTCAAAGGGTGATGATATAATTTAACGTAACGAGCGATAGTTCGCTGGATAAAGTGGTTTATCGAAAAAGGGCATATTGTGTAGAGAACAGAGCGGTTTTATAGATGAAGGGGATCTACGACTGATACATATCTAAAATTACACGATGACTTTTATAAAACTTTAACGTAACCCACTTGTAGCGAATAGTCTTCTGGCAGTCATTAATTTTTTTATTTGTACGTTTGTCCATATTTTATCAATTTCTTCACGATAACAAATTGCAATATTGAGATTCCTGGCGAGTGAGTTTGAGTATACTATCTTAAGATGTGTAAGGAAGAATGCAGTATATTTCACAGTGTGAGTAACTTCACTCGCCCCCATAGTATAGGAGTCTTTGGTTGTTACCTAAAATTTATATTCAATCTATAACTTCGCCGACATTATCATGGCAACACAACTATCTGCATCGCTTGGTATCTTTTTGTAATAGCGATTACATTTTGCAGAACACAAAATTGCTAAATGATTTCTATATTCTGTTTTGTGAGCATGTTTATGGAAATCATAACTATTAAGAATTTGTTTCGCGGGTTTACGGATTTAAAGTCGTTTAGATGAATATTAAACAGCATATTGTTTATACTGATATACACAGAAAGGAAATACCATAATTTTACATCTGTTTTTGTTACCATAATAATAATTTAATATCAGCTTCCCAATTCAAATTTTACCAATATAAGTGATTATAATCTAATATGTTCCAAATTTGCATTGAAATAACAGAAAGATGATCTGAAAACAGCGTGGGAATGAGCGGTAAGGTTTTTGCTTTGAATCACAATATATTACTACGTTGCATGATACGAGTGTTAAAAAAGTAACGCAAAATTAACAGAAGTTAAATTGAAATGCTACTTAAAGCATTCAACGACTGACATCTTTTGACAGTATTGAATTACAGTGAAATGCCATTTAAACATTTCACGACCGCCGCTTTTCATCAGTATAGTTCAGCACCCCTTATATTATTACTAAGTACATATTCGTCCGATACAAATACCACGAGTTTTGGTTGTCAATGATATTTGAATCAACTAGGAGAATATGTATTTCATTTTAGATTAAATTTCTCTGATTTTAAATGGGACATTTTCTTTTGCCCAAAATTCTCCATTTCAATTAACTTAATGGGAACACTTTGAATATGCGCGTGGGAATTCCTATATATTTGGCTTTCGTGCCCATATATTTGGGCATTGCACTATTGTTTTAAATATTCTGAAGGTGATAAACGAGTTCAGACAATACCAAAAGATTTACAACAAGAAACACAAAATCCTAACCATCCTCAGCTATCATCTGGACTGAAACACCTGCAGAAAGAATTGTCGCAACAAGCACATTCAAAATTGGAAACCACTGAGCAGAAACAAAAAATACCTCAATCCCAAGAAAAGCAATCAACATCAAGTTCTACACAGGGCGCTGTGCCAACACAACCGCAATCACAACAGGTCGAGTCCTCAAAGTCGACACATAAAACAGTAATTCCTAAAATAACAGAGGCTAAAAATTCAGAATCACAAGTGCAAACAAAATCAACTTCAGCGCAGGAACAGACGCGATCACGCATATCAGAGCCAGTGAAAGACGAGAAAGCATTGCTTCGGCAACAACTAAGTGAAAAAACTGTTCATCAGGCATTGCCTCCGAGCTCCGCTACTCAGGTTACAAAACCTAAACTTGAACATAAACAACCGAAGCAACTTGAGGCAACGAAACATCAACAAACAGTTGTCAAGATACCCATATGCACTTCAAGTGGTGGTGAGTAAATCATGGTATAGCTTTGAAATTATAAACTCGTGGTGTGTGGCGTACCGCTGTCAATTGTTAATTTATTCAAGTCATCCCGAGGATAGGTACAAATTAGGCATTTATCACCAAATTAAATGCATAGAAATAAGCGATATCTACAACGGATAATGAATCTAGCAATATTAACGCTTTTAATGACCCCTGGTGTTCCTGGGTCATTTTGACACCCCTCTATAATTTTTTTAATATTTCACCAACCAAAAATGCCAAAGACATCATTAATGTGTCCCTAAAAAGCTTATTTTCGTCGCTTTCCACTAAAACGCGCCCACATTACGTAGCGTAAATGCGTCCGACCATATGCCAGTAAGAAGAGAGAAATTTTCAAAAAATTTCGAGAAAAAGTTTCTCACTTTTAACGCTGTGGTCAACACGTGATTGATATGCGAGAGAAAGAGTTTTCCTTTGGACGAGTTTTACGTCACCTTCAAAATAAAACAAAAGTGGGATTTGTAAGTGAAGTGATATTCGTTTTATCGAAGAGCATTTGATCGCGTGTTGTCTGGTATCTTTGTTTGTTTATTATGAGCCGAAGAACGTTGCTCGCGCGTTCAAAATACTTCGATTTCAACTAACAACAGAATATTTGGTTATTTTAAAGCTTTGAAATACTCATACAAATAAAATTGACCTTGTTGCAAAATAAAAATTATACATAAAAAAAATATTATGACATCACCGTAGTTAAGAACACTCGGATCAAGCATGGATAATTTAAACTCAAACATTTTGAGTTATAAATTTGGTTTTGTTCACATGCAGACCACTATGAAATACTATTGACCCCCCAAAATACATTTAATTTAGCCATAAACCCAAATTATGACACAGATCAGCCATTTATGGCCGGGCCGAAACCCTAGGGTTAATAAATAATAGATCTGGCGCTACCGAAGTATGTGCACCAAGATGGCGCACAACCTGAACCCTAACCTGGTACAACTACTATGTTCAGGTTGTGCGCCATCTTGGTATCTGGAAAACATTTGATTTGGAACTCCTGTAGTATGCAAACCAAGATGGCGGACAGTGAAGCGTAGTATGTGTACCAGATTAGGGTTAGGTCATAATTTCAGGTACAAATACTACGGGAGTCACTTGGCTAGACCCCGAACTCATTATTGGAATAAAATATTCGCCTATACCCTGATCTGGTACACATACTACGTCCCGGTTTCCGCCATCTCGGTTCACATACTATACAGAAGTACCTTTGTTTTTTACATATAAAAGTCATTTCAGAAGAGTTTGTAAAGGTGTTTGGGCGCAATTTCATCCAAGCACCCTTATGACTAACTTCATTATCTTTTCGGTACCATGAACGTTTAACGTAGATAATATACTTGATGTATTATGCCCGAACGTATCGCAAAACAGCGATTTCGAATTTAAGATTACGATAATTCCCTATACATATTTGGTATTTTCAAAATCAACCGATTCCGATTATTGAAAGTCCGATATTGCACATTTTACCTTTCCGATTACAAAGTCGTACCAATGCACGAAATAAATAAAATGTCGGTACAAAAAATGGAAACATAATTAAATCTGTCAGAAATCTTCTGCAAACTTCCGGGTTTTTATTCCTTGAATTCATTTTAAATGGGCAGTTAAAAAGTAAACCGTCGGCTTTATGAAGTATCAAAATAACGGCATTCAAAAATCTCGATACCATAAGGATATTTTAGATTAGTATTAAATATTTATAGTAAAAACTTGCTGAGTCTTTTTGAATATTATTCTTTGAATATATTCCATGAAAACTTTGATTTCAGATAAAATTTCAACCCCGGCTACCAAATCAAAAGATCAGCCTTCGCTAAAAAAACAATTGCAAGACAAATCACTGAAATCAAAAGATAAATCATTGTTGAAACCTTTGATCAAAGAAATTCAAAAACAAACAAGCAATATGGGAGAAGATCCCGGGAAAGGAGAAAGTGGCAAATCTGACTCGAAAGGGAAAAAAGCTTTACATAGAATGATTAAAATTACGAATCCGGATGACGTAAGTTTCTTTGAATTGTTTGAAATGATAAGTAACAATCTAGAGCCGTTGAGCTATCATTGCGAAAATTCAGCGACCTATCTCCTAAAGTCTGACCAGGGGTCGCAATATTTTTGGTCTGCCGGATGGTGCAAAACTGAAACTATTCCAGGGCCGATTTTCTAAAAAAAGGCTTTACATTCTCCACTACTTCAACAATTTACGAATGCTAATTCCAATGTTCGCGTTATATCGTCAAATAGTATTATTTCATCACAGAATTACTGCATGTTACATTGTTAAGAAATTACGCCTAACGTTTTAATTTTTGTTATTTTGCGATTTTTCCCGTTTTTTTGGGCTTATTGTTTTACCGATTTTTTTAGTATTGTACAATTGTTGTGCCGCCAACTTGATCTTTGCCAATGATTTCGACAAGGGCTCATTGAACACGGCACACGGTAAATTCCTGTAGGTACATTCAAGGCAGCACGTTACTCGACCATTTCCCTCTTACTTGACCTTTAATTTATTTATTGTCATGTCTTACAACCTCTATATTTTTTTACCCCTCGAAATATTTTTACCAGGTTAAGGTTAGGCCATAATTTTATTCCAATTGTTATTTTAGTTCTATTACGAGTTCGGGACTAGCCAAGTGACTCCCGTGGTATTTGTACCTAAAATTATGGCCTAACCTAACCTGGTACACATACTACGTTCCGGTGCGCCATCTTGGTTCACATACTACGGGAGTACCCGTGGCTGGAATCGTTTTCGAAGTTTGATCGTGATTTCCTCTCGACTTCTCACAGCTCATTTTGAAAATTACTCAGTAAGACAGATGGATCACGATGAACTAATGAAGCGATTGCGAGTAAGATTTAAGAAAAAAACAGCAAAATGGGAAGGAAAATAATATTTTACTCAAGATGTGCATTTATGATGACCTTTGCACTCTTGCTTCTACAAGTTTTGCAAATGTTGATACAGCCACTGAGAGGAGAATGGATCTCAGACAGAGTTGTAACGGTTTGTTATTCTTAATGGTTTAAATTAAGGACACGTGTTCTATGATGAAACACATCCTTTTATATTATTTTATTTATTATTAGATTCCATCATATTCAATTTTGAATATTTTGCCTTTTTTAAAATTTGTACTGATTTTTAATGATTTTTATGTTTTGGTAACGATATTAGGCGTGTGGGTTTAGATTTTGTATTACTCAGTCCATGGGAACCGATATTTCACCAACAATTTTGTTATTTAATTTTAAATAAAGAGGAACGATTTTCTGCTAATATTTTCAACAAAATCGGTGCTCCAAGTCCTCGCCATACAGGTACAATTACGCGACCTCCTTAGGTACTCCCGTAGTATGTGTACCGGGTTAGGGTTAGGCCATAATTTTTTCCGATTTTTCTTATTTTATTTCTATTACGAGTTCGGGGACTGTCGGTGGTAGGCAAGTAAATATACCTCCTGCCCATAGGTTTCAGTCCCTTCACACAACTTGATGTAAAGTAGGCGAACAAAATTAGTTACCTTCATATTGGTACATACACTTATGGAGAGCTCACTTATGGAGAGCTCCAAACCTCCTCGTCTTACATTAGTGCTTTCTTTCATCTTTCTACAGATTCTGCAAAACGTACTGATTGCTTTAACTGCGCTTGTCGCAGGACTCCAGTTAAAGCTTAAAATGAGCGAAAAGGCCGACAAATATCGAAAAGGGGTCAAGATATATTACCATTTAATGCGGATGACATCATATTATATAATGATGACGGAAAGCGGAGGAAGACCGGAGTACAAAAACACAATATCATTCTGGAAAGACGCTCTCAAGAAAGAAATGGAAAGCATACCGGTTTTGCAAGCTTTCAAACAATAATCATACAATATTTCGAGCGAGTGTTCCACATTATTATAAATTTCTAATCGATTCATCTACTTTTGAAACGAACACACGTAAATATTGTGCAAGCGTTTACTCAAAGTATCAAACACTGGTGCAACTTCTTCTAGATTTTAACACTGAACGCCTAATACCTAATCTTGCATTTAAAATTCGTTGGTAATGGGGAAGCTGCCTTATGGATGGCACTTTTTCATATTTAGTACACTTAGCTACATTCTTTGCATAATGTTTCTAGCGGCGATAAATGCTGAATTTTATTTCTTGTGCACAGAGGTGTAAGCAAATTGTGCAATATGACTTTATATTTTCAGAGGGCACGTAGTGACTTCAAGTTGTATCAGAAATTTTCTCGAATTAGAATCCCGGTTTAAATTCAATTTCACGTGTTCAAACTCAAAAGTGGGAAATCAATTGCATTAACATTAGATCATAGCAATACCCCTCGGAACGTACACAAACATTCCTTTAAAAATACCATAAAATTGAAATAATATTGAGGCTCGAACACACTTCCTGCTATTTCTTGAAATCAACAGGAAAACCATAATCGTTGTCGCGTACTGAACTTTTTAAAAATTTCTATTACTTGTGTAGTGCCAATATTAACATTTAAATATATTAATGATATATCGCATACTTGCCACATTCCACAGCATTCACCATCGTGGCCAGAGCACAGTTTATCGGCGCCACCATCCGGTCAGATAATTTTGACGGGACAAGAGAAACGTGTGTTCCGCAACCGAGAACAACATGTGTTGCGTAACAACCGTGAAATCCCGACCTCCTGTTCAGAGTCAAATGTCCGAGCTTTTCCAACTGTTTGCATTTTTGTGGCAATTCTAATCTAAAAAAAAATAAATACCCACATCATAACTGGTACAACTTCCTCAATCAAGAATTGCAGCTAAAAATTTTACGGTATAATAAGAGTTCCGTTCTGACGCACCGTTACTAATATCTATATTTTTATATACATGCATATGCCATATATGCAAGCATTGGTCAAGATTATAATTCAAGTTTCGAATCTCCTAAATTTGGCAATAACAGTTTAATTGAGTTTTCGCAAAATTTGTTTGAAAGGTCTTTCAAAATTAAAATTCGAATGTCATCCGGTTTTATCACAGGAGTCGCACCTATGATCGAATTAGAATGATTTTTCTGCTAGAAAAGGTTTGTAATCCTAGATCTGTCGTGGTTTATGAATGTATCCTCAATACACGTTAAAAACGCTATATATACTGTTATACCTGCATCGCTGGCATTTCCTACAAGATGATATGATAGAAAATGTGACCCTTGAACCTGGTGTCAAAGGTTGAGGTCTCTTATCAGTAACTATTTCTCCCACTGCCTCATGTCCAAGAACAAGTGGTGTCTGTTCAGGACGGTTGCCTGAAAATCACAAAATGTGTTTAATCAAATGCAAACAATTGCACATTATTTGATAAATGACTGCATTGCACTTAATTACTGATTACAAAGTATCTAGTATACAACACATTTAATCTAAACCAGGAGCGTGCTACAGGCTGTTTGCGGACAGGCCATTCACGGCGGCCATTGTCAACACACCCATAAAATTCCAATCCGACAGTTTATGTTTAAAAATTATCTCACGTGGGTAAATATACATAAATGTTTTTTATTCTTGTCGCTGCGTTGAATCTTTCGCCGTTTTGCCCAGTGTCCCTATTACGGCAAGGCGAGCAATAGCCACATGATCTCCTCTTTGCCTATCCCGCAAAGGAAAACTATTTAGTTGTCTGAAGTTGATTATATGGTCCGCCGACAAAAAATGTTGCACACCCTCATGATCTAAATTCTAAACTAGCTAGCATACTGACAGCTTTTTATTATTATGTGTTGTGTATGCCAGTGGTCGGCAACCTTTTTCAAGTGACAGACCGGTAAAGCCTAACCAAAAATGGGCGGACCACCTTTATACAAACGAACTAAGCAAATGTAGTAAATTATACGCGTTAGAAATTGATGTTGAAACCAATGTTCCCTCTAATTTTTTGTAGTATGTGTGCGAAGAAATTTTGGTGTGTGCGCACTTTTTTGGAAATGACTAATATTCGTGCAAAAACCAATGAAGAAATTTTGGCGTTCTAACCGGGTAATAAGTGGGCCAACAACAAACTTTCCAACTTGCCAACCGAGCATATTGTTACATTACATCGAAATACGTCTGTGCGCAGTAAACCTATGCGTGTGCGCGGCCTCTGAAAGCTCTGTGCGCGCGCACACGCGCACACTTTAGATGGAACACTGGTTGAATCTCCAAAAACATGGGTACCGGTGATACTATTTAATGCGGGATCTGGTGGTTGCCGACCACTGATGTATGCCATTGCTTTGAGTAGTCTATTTTTCTGTAGACAAACCATGCTCACCCCTAAACCCAAAAAGTGTGATAAATCGGAAAACCTTCGCCTATTTCCGAGGAAAACTTGCGACAACTACATATTATGCTTCCTGTTGGAACAAGAATTGTGTAAATTTGGAAGATTCTAATGACCTCGCAAACATTTTGTGTTGGTGGAACGCCACTATTTTCAAGGCGGAAAACCTTCGCCTATTTCCGAGGAAAACTTGCGACAACTACATATTATGCTTCCTGTTGGAACAAGGATTGTGTAAATTTGGAAAATTCTAATGACTTCGCAAACATCTTGTGTTGGTGGGAACGCCACTATTTTCAAGGCGGAAATTCATTTTCAATTTTCTTCGACGTGCGCTTATTCGAAGATCAACAACGCAGTAAAATTAGTCATTTACCATACTTTTATCTAAAATGCCGGCGTACAAAAATCAATACATGAATTCACTTTTTTAAAGCGGGATTTGATAGATTTTTATTTATCACTGTCAATAGCATGCATGTCTGGCATTGGACAATGCCAAATAAAACTTTGACATGAAAAATGAAGGAATTAGATTACAAAGTCACAGACAAAATAAGTAACGATATTTGGAATCCAAAAAAGGACTGTAAACATCTATATAATCGAAATTCCCAAAATTGTTTATCAAACTATTTTAATACCAATGCAACTAATCATTTTTATCGACCAATTATCTTACATTTTGGTCTGATAGTATGTTGTCGAGTTTCATTAATTTATTACTTGGAAAATGCATTTATTTTAACGCAAGTCCTTCGTAGCCAAGGTCAATGCTGTCTGTACTTCTCTAACGCTTGAATCATGATAGTTCACGCTAAAAGTAGCATAATCGATAAACAACGAAAATATTTTCACGTTCAAAGCGTTCAGAAAAAAGTATTATGAAAATACTTTGAATTACGTGAATTTTAACCCTACAGGTGAAGTAAACTATGTACTGGTTTTTAGCAGTACGCAGGAGTAATTTATCGATTTGACATTTCAATAATGTAATTTCCATGGTCTTGCGAGCGAGAAATTTGATTTTTTACGATAAATTTGGCTTCTTGTAAACTCAACATTAGTATTTGTACCAGAAGGTTGTATTGGCGAAAATTGCAATTTTTTAAAAGCGATCAATTTACCGTAATTTTTGGCAATAATGTAATTTCCATGGCATTGCGAGCAAGAAATGTGATTTTATTGATCAATTTGATTTAAATTCAACATTGGTATTTGTTCAAGAAGGTTATATATATGACGAAAATTCCAATTTTTAAAAAGGGATTTACTATAATTTTTGGGGAAAATAATATTGCATCAATGATGCTAAGAATTTATTTGTTGGCTTCCAAATTCAAATTGTTTTTGCAAAAGCGATCGAGGTAAAAGACAACATATAGTAGGACTAAATGATGGATTTGGATTTGAATTCGCACAAGACTAAATTCGAACTCGCCACAATTATGCGCACCGGTCCACGGGTATTTTTGGAAAATGAAGGCGCCAAGATAAAAGTTACGACCATGCTCCATCTCAAAGTCCACTCACCGCTTATTGTATGTAAATCCGATCCACAAATAGTTGCCAATCTAATTCGAACCAAGACTTCGCCTTTCCTCGACATTGGGCAGTTCTTCTCGTCGTTCAAAAATAAATTTTGGATCGTGATCTGCTCCGGTGAATATTACTCTCGCAACTTTCAGCGACATTTTAGCAAACGCTTCAATTTATATGTTATACGAAACAAAAATACTTTGAAATAATTCTACCAGATATTATATATTGCTTTTTGCACTCGCTTTGCTGCGAACTTCAATGACACTACGCTTAGCTTCGAATATGCATTTTCCCCATCATATAATAACATTATTGTTGCTGATATTCTTGTGTATGTACTGTATAAAGCGCTATCTAATTCTCGTGTCTATTACGCTTAACCGCATTAGTCTGTACAGCTTGTTTCTATCAAAAACATTTCCCTTTATCGTTGAAGTATCGTGTGGCATCTTTGTGTTGGGTACAACCATAAGTCTCATTCATAGCGTTATTATCATACGTTTCATTATTATAATGGACAACATAAATTGACGTTTTTCAAGCCTATTATACTAATATAGTTACTGCCATTCAGTCTTCGATCGCTGTCTGGCTGTCCCTAGACTTACTGTGTAACAACGCACATGTCATAATGCAAATATACGTCGAGTCTGGTGAATTACGTTATAATAGCTAAACAAACTTAATCCTGCTGAGAAAAGCGCTCAATATTTGTTGTCTACTTACCTAAAGATAATTGCCGAGGTTCGGTGCATAAATGAAGCGTATTCGTGGTTTATTGTTTGTACCTGCCTATATCGCATTGATGATACTACCTATTTCGAATCTGGCAACAAGCTTATGCTTATTCGTATGTGCTTGGTACTGCAGGAGTATATGAACCGAGATGGCGGACACCGGAACGTAGTATGTGCACCAGATTAGGCCATAATTTCAGGCACAAATACTCCGGGAGTCACTTGGCTAGTCCCCGAACTCGTAATAGAACTAAAACAAGGGAAATTGGAATAAAATTATGGCCTAACCCTAACCTGGTACACATACTACGTTCCGGTGTCCGCCATCTTGATTCACGTACGTCAGGAGTACTCATAGGTGTACCTAAATCTTCAACACAAACCTAATCGTATATACGCTACACTCTTCCATATTTAGTTATGTGAATATATATAAACACAAACCTACAGTCACTCGTTTAAGGAAATGCTTAAATAGCCTGTGGGTGAATGCCATTATCGTCTAACTTTTAAAATTTAAATGACCGACGTAGATCGTAGACGAAAGTTGGATTGAATTATTCGAGTTTTTTGTAACAAGATAAAAGCTATTCCATAGGGAATATAGATTTTTAGTTAGTGGTTTTGCGATGAAAAAGCCGTGCACAATAAGCTTTTTAATAAGATTGAAATTACAACAAAAAGTCTCACGCGGTTGGTAATGTGGCTCTTGACGATATATATATATATATATATATATATATACTACCTTTATAAAGCTTGAGTTAAATTTTGAAAGCCCCGTTGGCAATTACTACAAGATTTACATCCCGACGTTCTCCTGCTTTGGTAAATTTTACGAAAAACTCATAATTCATATTCGAATGTATTCAAAAAAAATTCCATGCACATGCAGCGCTGAAAATTCTACTATAGGTAAATAATGCGAGTTAAAGAACTCAGTCCAAAGCAAGCCATTTATATCAGCAACAATGGCACCATCTTCACTTCACACTTTAACCAGGTGGGTTGCTAAGTCACCTTCAAAATTCTCCGTACTAATTTTCGGAACGGCATTTCAATTATCTCATCTGAATTGGAAAACTCCACGCCCGGCAGTTGATCTTTTGGCTCATCATTGCAATCTCTAGAAATTTACCACCTCTAGTAAGCGATTTTAGTTAGATAACTAGTACGGTACTCACCGCCAAAAACAATAGATTCCAAATTTTAAATTTCAATATTTTTAAATTACATATTTGACAAGCACAAATTACAAGAAAATGATAATTTACACGGGGGGGGGGGTAGAGGTTAATGAGCCATAAGACCAACCGATGGATGGGGGGGGTCACTTTAAGTAAGTTCTGGTTCGGAAATTAGTGTGAGGATTTTTGAAGGTGACCTAGAGTCCTAGATAACCCCGTGTTTACAGTGTGGAGGGCATTGATAGAAAAGGTGGGGCGTATTAAAACGAATTGACACAATAAGTTTTATAATAGCAAAAAAGTCATTACATTTATTCATTAACATTCAATTCGTGCAAGGATTTACATCCTGACGTTTACTCGCTCTAATTAATTCTATAAATCGTGAAAATATGATTATTCATATTCAAATGCATACAGAAAAATGACTTGTACGTTTTGTAGCATCGCGAGTTAAAAATCCCAGTACAAAGCAAGTCCTTTATATTTATAATGTACGAGCAATAGGAGCATTAAATAAGCGAAGTTTTTGTTCCACTTCGGTATGGGATCTCAGCGTCCTGAATCTACGTTGGTATGTGATCTCACTTGTTTAAAACGGCATCTCGCATACCAAAGTGGCACAAATTGTCGTTCCACTATGGCAAGGGCGTGCAACCTTTAATATAGGAGGGCCAATTACAAATAACTTGGTGAAAACGCGGGCCGCACCATTATTTAAAATAGGTTTTGTAGTAATTGCAGACACAAGAATTTTGGTTATTAATCGCTTCGCACAAGCTCGGGTATAGGCTTTGCAACGCAAAGGAATTACTCACACGTGCTAGATTAAACTAAATTAAAAACACGTTTTTCGGGCCGCACACCATTCAGAATTGGCACTCCTCCGCGGGACGCACAATTGTTTCCTATGGGCCGCAGGTTGCACACCCCTGCACTATGGTATGAGTTTAATCTCATAAAGACATTCTTTTAGAATTCAGTTTCTAACCCATTGTTGGGTTAGGGTAATACTGAATCACTGATATAATACAACCGCAGAGATCACGTACCAAAGTGGCGCCGAAGTTTGCTCCTTGTGCTAGTTTGTAGGGGCGTAGCTAGAGGGTGGTTTTGGGGGTCAGACCACCTCCCTCCCCCCTTTTGAAATGTAAAAAAAGTAAAAGCATGTTTCTGTATCATACCTAGCAATTTTTCGTAGCTTGAACCGCTTTTTAGACCCTCAAGAATCAAGTTGTTTCGATCTAACTTGGCAAATAGAAATTTCAGAACTCCCCCCCCCCATTTGAAAATTTCTTGCTACACACTGCAAGTTTGTACATTGCGTTACGTCATTTTACAAAATTGATGATTTACTATACACAACATATCATTCATGCTGTCGCTATATCTCTTTGGTATTTTAGTAGTGGTGCGTATATCTTTAGGGAGCAGGGGGTTATAAATATTCAGTGGTTCAGAACAAAATGTTGGGTAAGCTATGCTTTACAGCGATTTTTTAAAATTTTCCATTGATTCCACACGGTAAAATTAATACCAAATTACTTACTTTAAAAGTAAGCATTTGATAGTGATTAATCACATCTAGAGAAACATAACAAAATAATATTAGAATCTCTACGTTGACGTTGCTTGAACACCCGGGATGATTATTTACACCGGGTGAATCTTCATTTCACTGAACGAGAGATGATCGTTCCAGTAGAAGATAGAATCATATTTTCCATTCAGGTTGGATTGATAGCAATTCTTATACCACCAGGCACCATTGTAACTGCGAGCACAATTTCTACTACCTGAATCATTGTCTACATCATAAGTGGTAAAATATTGTTGATTATGATACGACATCCTGTCTGCAGCATCACCCGAATATCCAGAGATTGTCAGCTGAAATTTTGACTTTTCACTTCCAACCTTGAATGTGCTGAAATAAAAATATAGTCAAAATAGAATTTAATGTTAACAAAAATGTGTTGAAATAGAATGAGAAACTGGATTAAATTAACAGTTAAAATTGAAAATAAATTGTTCTGAAGCGCTATTTTGCGCTTAATATTTTGATTGTCTGACCTAAGCTTCAAAATGCAAACGGATCCCATTTTGTCGCCAGGTATAGAAAGCCTAACAACTCTGCCCCTGCTTATCGCAGTACTGCCGACAGTTGGGTACCCAGGAATTCGTTGAGAGGTGTCGTAGTCACATCTGTATGCCACCAAACAAAGTGTTACAATTATTGTTTGCATGTACGCTACCTTCCTTTTTCATACCGTCAAAGACCACACAGACTCACCAATGCTTTAATCTCATTACAACGCCATGTTTGCGGTATAATATAGAACAGTGTTTAATCACGCATCGTGGTTCAGTTTCTTCACACTCATTCAGGTTGTCGATGGCTACCCACCCTGTCCCACCTCCGCCATGCGGGAGGAATCTCTACGTAGCTCGTAGAAGTATTACCTGTATTCTGCATACTTTACTGAACCAGATTGGAATCTCAAATCAATACGAAGTTTATAATTTTTCGATGTTGTCAGTTGATGAATTGCTCGAAGACCTGAGAAAAGTAAAATAAATTGTGAAATAGAGCTTGAATATATTAGTTAATTCGGAAGTATATTAGTAGATTTTAAAATGTTCAATATGATAGTGATTAAAAAAGTTTATTCTCAGATTATTGTTTGTACATGCGCTGCACCTAACTAGTAATTAAATTTGATAGGCTGGCATGTAATCAGTGTTTTATTTCCCCCATGATGTCAATACACTTTGTACAAACAATATACAGGGTGTCTCAAGTAGTAAGTATACAGTTTTAATTTTTATTTGCTTTTCAGGTACTCATCATATAGAGCGTTTATTTCTCTAGAAAACATAGTATGGATAAGTAGTAAAATTTAGGTATTGTTTGCATTTTCATCGACCCACAGAATGACAAGGAGATTAACCTAAGAAATGAGGTGAAAATTGCTGTTTGGCAGGAACCATATAAATCAGAAAGGCAAACTCAGCGCACCTATAACAGAGGAATTGGAATTAATTCGGCTCCCACACGGCGAACAATTTATGCAATTTATCGTCAATTAATGAAAACTGGATCTGTAGTTGATGCACAAAGATCAGGAAGCCCAAAGAGCGGACGCTCTGAGGAATTTTAAAATTCTCCGTTAAAGAGGCGCTGAGTTAGCCGTACTGATGTAAAGCATATGCTTTTTGCCAAACAGCAATTTGCACCTCATTTTTGGGGTTAATCTTCTTGTCATTCTGTGGGTTGATAAAAAATGCAAACAATACCTAAATTTTAATACTTATCCATACTATGTTTTCTGAAGAAATGAACGCTCTATGAATGAGTGCCTGAAAAGCAAATAAAAATTAAAGGTGTATATAAATACTTACTTTTGAGACACCCTGTATATAAAAAGCAACGTAAAAATGACATTTCACGGTGAAGGGTATGAAGAAAAGATAAGCGAGCTTGCTTTGAATGAAAATAACTTGAGAATTGGTTGAGAATCTTATATTCATAGGTACTATGAATTTTCCATCGCATTTAATTCAACTTAAATTCAAACTCAATTTGACAAACTGATGGGTGTGCATAACGTGCTGCACTGGAGCCAGTGTATCTCGAGAGATATTTTGATTGTATTCGAGTCCATGGCCCACATATGCCCAATATATTGTCTTATTCAAAAATAAAATAAAAGACCAAAAAAGCAAATTAGTAAGTTTTTAATCGGAATTCCACCTACCAAGCCAATATTCTCCATTTTTATCTCCAAAACCTATGGCATAATTTTCCCAGTTTCTGTCGTAAAATCTGACTGATCCATCTTGTCGTTTCTGAATTGTCTGGAAGAAATAATTGAGATTTTACTGAAAGAAAATTTTCCATCATACAATCTGAAAAATTTTGCATTTTAATAATTCAAAGCGAGTATTTGCGAAGTTGGTGATTCAATCTGGCTTCATCATATAGACTGAGTGTAGCCTACTATCCGATGGAGAAACTGTACATGTCCATGTAACCGACCAATCACTGCAATCAACTATGAAGAATGATCATGACCAAATTTAATTAACTACAATCCATCCATCTTCATTCACTGAATATAGTTCGCAATTTACTGTAACAGGTCTGAAGTTTCCTTCGTTTCTCCATGGATATATTTTTTCGATTGTTCCATTTGGGCCACAACTCGATGGAGAAAAGGAATCGATGTCTGAATCAAAACAAACTGAATTCAAATAATCGTTGTATAGCGTATATACTGATAACGCACTTAAAGATGGGTTATCACGGAGAAATTTTTGTAGCGATTTCGATTCTATATATTTTTCAAATTCTTTGACTTTTATTAGGTGGACTTCGTTGGGAGATTCAAATATTTAAAAGTCAACCCCACAGAAATCGAGTGAAAAACTGAAAAAGATGCCAATAACTCTCGCGATTGCATTTCGCTAAAATCGGGGTATGTTTTCGTCAGCGTGAAGTGTTATTTGGGCCGTAAACACCTTCACGTTAGCGTTCATTCTCCCTAAATCACGAAAATTGTGCCCACGACAACGATTGATAATTCTTTCTTTTTGTACTCGCACAGAATTGGGAATCCGTTGAGAGTTTATTAACATTCTGCGGCGGCGAGATTCTAAAGACAAATAAAGGAGTGAATCGACGAACGCAAATTTTTTTGATTGAAAAGCGGCAATAATAAATACTAAAAATAAAACCGTAAACAATCTGTTGTAGGAGGACCGAGACAGATGAAAAAAGCTTCTCTTGGCATTGTAAATCGCAAAATTTCGCACACATTATGTTTAATCTGCGTTGGACCATACCGTCACTAAATTCGAAACAAAGGCAATTGTGCGCGGGATTCACCTTTTTATCCATTACTTTAAATTGCGGTCGTTTTATTGTTAACATTATACAATGTTGGAAACGCAACATTTTCCGGTTTGTGATAATATATAAGATAATTAATCTAAAGTTATATTCAATCGATTTTTATTGTACAAAAATTAATTTTACTCCATGACATTTTATAGCAGACTCAGGTTTTTTTCCCTAACGGTTTTATCTAAAAATAATCTGAGTGGCAGCATTTGATAAAGCGGAGCCAGTTGTTGTAGGTACATGCTCAGATTTGTCGTTATTCAGCAAAAAAAAATGCGGATCAAAATGAGATATTGGCAATATAAACCTATGTTTTTATGTCCGGTATTTTAGAATAATTGATGCCGCACATACCGTAGGTTAAGTTTGAAGACCAAGTAAATTTAATAAAGGCAAGACATTTTTTAATATGCCCGTTATGGTCATGGGATTGATTACCTAGCATAGGGGTGGCAAACGTAACATCATTGTATCGTAATATATTAGTATGTGCCACCATTTTTCTTCATTTCTGATTGATTTATGAAGTTGTACAGCTCATGTGGTTAGAGTTACTTGCTAACTTACTGAAATAAAATTTGATTTCGAAAGAAATATAAGCAATTATAGAAGGGAATACAAGAGAGAAGTGCAGAAAAACGAACTATCGCGTGATTGGAATTCCATTCCCGAGAATTTTTCGTGTCTCAAAAACTTTGCAAACTGCATGTTTTTATCTACATATGCTTGTGACTTTCTGATCTCAGTTATGAACTTTATTAAGTCTTGTATACATGAGTAGCCTAAAAGATTAAACTAGTAGTTCGTGTATTCCTTCGAAATTTACAAAAATATAAAACCAATGTAAAATCTCTATCAGCGGTAATGCAGCAGTGAAAGTCTCACTGATATTGGATAAGAAAAGTAATCGAATCTTATTCGACTGATATTTTCTCGAATAGTGAATCTGTCTGTGCCTGTTTAGGAGGTTATTATTGTGTATTTTTGCTTTGAAAGTAACAAAGTTATGTTTTCAATTTGATCGGGCACGCGAGAGATTTTGTCGTTAAATTTAGCCGATTTTGGCACGCGAGCCGAAAAAGGTTGCCCACCCCTGACCTAGCACAACAGAAAAATCATCCCGCGAGGATTTCGAGGCGATGAATATATATTTTTGATATACTGATGTGTATTTTATTGTACTAACTCAAATAGTACTCTACGGGGTTTTAAATCAGATCTAGAAATTTTTCTAACGGCGATAACGAATTCGCACGGTCATAAAAATACGAATAAAAACTGAATACAGTCGGGCAGGTTATCTCATATTTTTATGTCCACAGACTGCCGTGGTATTTTAGAATGATAATGTTGAAATTTTGACGTAAGAAGACGCAACCGCAAGTTATGTTCAACACAATTAATTATCATGGATTGAATATTTTACCAACAGAAAAGTCATTTTACGCGACAGAAAAACATTATACAATGAAAGAGTCGGCTCCCAAACAGACAAAAAAAAAATTGAGTACCTCCAGTAGGTAATTGTTTGATTATACCCACGTCTAACTTCAGTGTATTCCAGTATTATATAGGATTTTCAGTTCATGGAACTAAAATGCTTTGAAGCAACTTCCAAAGGGATCATTGTTTAATGGAGGTATAATTTAGATCTTAGACCCCGCCAAATGAACACCCCGCCCCTTGATGGAATCGAACAACTAACCAAATTTTTTCATTCCTCGCATTTTTTAGCTGTACTGGCGGGCTTTCTACAAAAAATCCCATAATTTGTTGTAACAATTCATCCTTCCTTAATATACTTCCTATGTAGAATGCCGAAGACCATTCATTTAACATTTTTTAATTGTTTTAAAAATACACCTCATTTCATGGAATGTTAATATTTATAGATCTGTCATGAAAAAATTTAATGCAAAAATACATATGATAATTATTTTCGAATTGTGAATGTAATTGAACCAGATATTGGATGTAAATTCACAGGTTACATCCGCTCAATACTATAAAGCAGGGGTGGCCCGCAAGTCGACCGACCGGTCGATCGCCACCTTTGGGGTAGTCGATGGCGTCTGATGTTGACTGAATTTAATAACATACCCCAAAAATGCCTTGAAACAGTTTCAGGCAACACCTATTGTGTGTTTTGAATCGGAAGAATACAATACTGTAGACAACATGCGCAAACACTCATAGTAGGCTATTTGAGTATTGGCAAATCCGATAGAGCTATATTATTACCTATTACCCATATAACTGGTGCCAAGGTTTAGAGTGAACTTGCCGAATATCGTGTGCCTTAACTGACAAACGATCCCACAAAAACTTCTGCAGTATGCGAGTATGCGACAGTTATTGTTTCACTCCAAGAGTAGTGTGATAAATTTTATTCGCAATAGTAGCAGTGTCATAGGAATGCCTAATTATTTATAATTTCAAGCGAGCGTAGAATCGGACTAGAAAATTGCAAATTAGATACTGAAGCTTGAGCAATCATGTAACATGTATGGTTTGATAGTATTCATTTTCCGTATTTTAGCTAATACATGGATACTTGGCAAGTTTTTTTGAGGAATTTTCAACATGTACAACTAAAATTTAGACAGTCCATCTTAATTAGATGATGAAACATTTACACCAGATACAATTACACAATTAACTTAACTAATTAAATAAAGAATATTTTTTTTGTGGCGATTCCATTAAGAATGCCGAGCTTATTAGAAGTGGAATTTTCTCTATGCGTGTGTGAAGTTATCTGCATCTTTTTTGTGTATGACCTTATTGCCGATCAGTCGAATGCGATCGAAAGCAGGTTGGCCACTCCTGCTATAACGGATTGGAGCAATAAACCCAGGAAAAAAAAATGATGGGGTAACTGATAAAATTCACTGGTGATGTATAGTGACTTTACTGATTGGACACGTAGTGGACATAACGATCGTTTCAATATTATGTTGTTCTTTTCCTTGTTGTTTGATACAGAATAACACACCTAGTGGAAATATTAAAAAAACGCTTTTCTCTTCGAATACTGGACCAATTGCTTTGAAATTTTCAGTGGTTGAAGATAAAATTTTTCCCCAGAAGGCTATTATTTTTATTCATTTTAAATATTTCTGTTAGCTCTGTGATATTTGTTTTTGTTTGCTATGACGTCATTAAACGTTCTGCGGACATCGGACACCATTTTGTGTCCTACTGTACTGCATCGCTTGGTGTGAATATATTTGTAGGCTGTGATCTGACGGTACGGTAAACCGTACTGTACTGCGAACAGACGTGTCCATATATTTGGGCGTAGCTCTCTTGTGTTGTTATTGTTATTATTTGTCTCCATCATTTTTTAAAAAATCGCTTTTCTCTTCGAATATTGGACCAATTGCTTTGAAATTTTCAGTGGTTAAAGATAAAATTTTTCTCCAGAAGGCTATTACTTTTTTTTTCGCTATGACGTCATCAAAATTATTGCCATTTGGTGGCGCTATGTGTCCATATATTTGAGCATAGCTCTCTTGTTATTTATCTTGTCATTTCCCCATAATGACAGTGGCATTTATAGAATACATTTTAGTAATATGTAATGTCGGTGCAATTGTCGGTGAAAATGGGTGGAATCTGGATTTTATATTAGATAAGCTATTTAAATTTAATGGGACCAGATTTATTTTATATGGTGGTGGTTTGGGGTGGGCCTCTTTGACACAGTCGGTTACAGCTTCTAAGAATATAGAAGTTTAAAATCACCAACCTAGTTCATTGATGGTTTGATTCATCTTATCGTGTCTTGTTTCGAGATCCCGAATTTGTTGTTTCATTTCTCGATTCTCAATTTCAATATCATCCATTTTGCTTTTCAGCTCTCTCATTGCCTTTTCGTCAGCAATATTACACTGACAGGGTTCTCCCTTTTCTCCTTTTAGTCCAGGCAAACCATTCATCCCTCGTTTTCCTGGTCTTCCTTGAGATGAAGATGTTTGAAGTGTCGACGGAGCATGTTCTGTGGTTTCTCCAGGTTGACAAAGTGTTGTTGTTGTAGTGCAAGTGTAAGGAGGAGAAAGTATATTCCTTTTGAGCTTGTGTAGAAGTTATGCATAGAATGCACATAAGCAAGAAATAGCTAACCATGGCTATGTTTATTGATAGAAAGAGAGACAAAATTCATTTTTTGTCAAATCAGAAAACATACAATAAATATAAACTATGACAAAATAATAGTATAAAAGTTTTCGGTAGATGACTGGGTGATAACGATACGACCATTTGCGGTCATCTGGGTCATATCACCCAATACAAACACATGAAAATATAAATAAACACAAGCTGTGTTTTGTTACACTCTCAGGATTCATCTAAAAAAGTACATAAGTGTCGCAAAACACTCTCAGAATTCACCTGAAAAAGTACATAAAAGACGCAAATCAAGTCACGTCGCTGTTAAATATAGTCTCAAGTCGAAGCTAAGTTAATTTCATGAACAAGATCAAAATGAATGATTATGAGTTACACATGCAGACACTAAGACGTGAACTTTAGTTTTAAAATATTTTGAAAAGCAAACGAGATTTTAATTGTGGCAGTGTATCGAATGTGGATTGTGACTATGGACTTTAATGTTATTTGATCCCTTTATATTAATAGTATGTTAAAACAAATGAACTAGGTCATTTTAGCTATTTCTCTGATGGTGATTTATCGTAGCAGGCCTTAGCTTTCTTTTGTACATAAGAAAGCGTTCAAGCGTATTTGTATGGACCAATCTTTGGCGCGCGTTTCCGGATTTCGTCCGAGGGTTGAAATATAGTGTTTTCCATGTTTTGTGTACTTATTTAGTACGGATTCGTCCGTATAACTGTATCAAGGTTTAAGTATATGATTTTATTTATCGATATTTGGATTCAATTCGATCGTGCAACTTTTCAATATACGATACATACATTTGGAATTCAACACACGTGTGCTTATTGACCTCTGAAGTAGCCCAGATCGGGGTTACACTCCATAACGTGTGTCGATCCAATAACACGGGAGTGCGAACCAGTGGTGGGATTCAAGCCGGTTCTATGACAAAAGTCATATTTTTCACCCGGTTCTGTTGTCATATAAGATGCAAAAATATATTGGCAGTAACCAGTAATGCTAACCGGTTCGCTAATCTAAAATTCCGTGAGACGGTTCTTTAGAACCGGTGCAAACCGGCTAAATCCCACCACTGGTGCTAACCTGCAAATAGGGTCAATCAATCCCATAGCAGCGTTCACTTCGATACATGGGGGTCTCTTTCGGTTGTTTCAAAAACAAGGTGATAAAATTTCGATAACTCAAATTTCGACGTGACAATTCATATTTTACTATCTCCAAGAATCGCTGAAAATTATTTTGGAGTCTTAACTCAAGTCACTTTGGCGGTAATTTTGCTTAGATAATCCGAGCCACTTTGTTTCCTAAAAACGTGATTGATTCAAACTCGGAAACTACTCTACAAAAACTATATTTAATGTCAAAAAGGATCAATAAAAAGTTAGAACTACATTGAAACCTCAGCATTAGTTAGTGTTAGACTACTCCGACATCTTATAATTTACCGATTCGGCTTAGAACATAAGTTTAGACTTAGAGTATACTAACATGAATGACCATAATCCAAAAAACTAACCTGGGTAAGACCAAGTCCTATATTTTCGTGTTAATATCAAATAATATTTCCTTGAAATCATCATAAATCCATCGGAGAAGCGTCAACGGTAATCTGTACAATAATACTGTGTTTTCAGAAATCGCTTATAAATCATTCCTGTCTGTAATCTTAGCCTGGTGGCACGATCTACAAACTATAAGATGCACTGAGTGTCTCAACGTAAAACTCACAAAACAATGAAAACTGTGTTCGTTGACTTTGGGAATTAAATACGAAAAGAGATTAAAATCAAAATGTCATTACCTTGAACATGAGGCGCAAATAATGCCGTATTTAATCAGACACTTCTATTTATGAATTTTGTTTCCCATGGCATACGTGTAATGCGGTAATGTAAGGTATGTAATCTCAGTAACAGACTGCATTCAAAAACAGAAATGAATTCCCAAACGTATTTCAGATGCAAATTCCACACCTCATTTGGTGTGATAGTTATTTGTGATCGAAGACTGTTAAAAAATGCAACAAAATAACTATATTTTCAGGCACTGAATCTTGTGTAGTCGCGTGTCAATAAATTTGAACGAGCAAAGTTCAAGGTTTAATGCGTTTTTATCGGCGCAATAACTTCGCAGCATTGGTTTCAAGCGTTCACTGTTCAAACTGATTATTTTTTCCCGCTAAATCAGGGTGCAACCTGCGGCCCGCGGGCCAAATGCGGCCCGCAAGAAAATATTGTGCGGCCCGCAGAGCAAGTTTTTATTTTGTTTTAATCTGGTAAGTGCGAGTAGTTCCAATTCCTTTGCGTTATAAAGCATATACAACTGAGTCCAATTTATTATCCATGCTACTGACCTTACAATGCCTTAACAGATAAGTCGCGCGACGCGAACAAACGCATGTCAAAAGATCAATAAACAATAATTTTGTGCCTGCAATTATTAGAAAGCCTAGGTTAAGTGGAGATGCGGCCCGCGGTTACACCCAGTTATTTGTATCTGGCCCTCCTGTATTAAAGGTTGTACACCCCTGATCTAAATCACGAAATATTGAACTTTGCAATTCCGCTGAGCTGTTATTCAAGCTTTAATTTCGTAAACTTTTTATGCTATAAAATAAAAAATCATCGGCGTATAAACGTATTACATTTTCCCGCCATTTTGTTTTCTTTTATAGTCGGCGACAAACTTGAAGATTCAATGCTTTGTTACGATAGAGCAACTTCCACGTAATTTCAATAATTATGCAATTCTGTTCCAAACTTGTTGTGGCTTTATATGAATATAAGCCACGCGAAATCACTTGCAACCATTGGGACGTAACAAGCTTAAATTATTACTTACTGCGTCAAACGTCACCCTGCGGTTAAACGGTTAATTTTATCCGGTTAACATGTTTCCAAATCGCCAGGCCTAGTTCAGATCTCCGCTCTAGAAGACTACTCTAATTCGATCTGCCCGTCTGTGTCTGTGTTGGACTGTTCCATATGTATGAAATTTCTCGCTTGATTATTAATGTCACCCTGTATTGCGCGTTTCACCAGAAGTCCGAATTAGTATTGTGTGTACATGGCAGAAGCGAGAATACGAATCAACTGTTGGGAAATTTTCAATTTTCTAACCAAAAATTAAGTCTAAAATGAATAGAAAGATAAATTATCAAATTGAGCTACAAACTCACATGCATAAAATCAAATTCATTTACTAACAAAAACCAACAACGTACTGCACGGGCCCGCTTCCCCCTGTCCACGTGGCTTGGACCAGACATCTTAGATCGCAGTTGGTTGAAAATGTCGCTTCTCCATTTTCAACTTGTAACCCCACCAAAAATGACTCGAAACAAAACGACAAATTATATCTACAATTATTTATTCTCTATAAGTGCCTAATAACTACGAAAAAAAAAACTAACACAACAAACAATACGACGATTTATATCTAAAAATATTAAACCTAATAAGTGCCTACAAAATCTACTAAGTGCCTACAAAATTCTATATAATGTGGGCCACAAAACCTGATTTTAAAAGCCGAATTGAATTTAAAAAAAGGCCAAATAATGATATACGTTGTAGAATTAAGAATACTATTCGTCAGTGTGAATTTAGACTAGAATTCAAAAAATATCCATACATGCATACACGTTTGATGCTCCTTATGCTATTTGTCATAAAAATAACCCAGAATTTGAGATTGCCACATAGCTCGGCTTTCAACCATCTCTAGAGATTTTAATCGCTTCTGAATTTCAATAAAATTGCTCAGTGTCCCCTGTATATTGTCTACTGGAGTTGTATAACCAAAATGATTGATTTTAATTTTCAAAGCGTAAAACCAAAAATCGGACAATAATTGAACTGAGACATTCATTTGGAAACGCACCACAGAACACGCAATTCAGTCAAAGTGAAAATTATAATGAACATATCCCATGTATGAAAAATACCGCTAGATAGGAATATTCTGGACACTAAGATAGGACTCGATCCCATGACCTCCCTCTGTTTGAAGGGCGCTCTCCCAACTGAGCTACATAGAATCCAGAACACCCCCCAAATAACAGATTTATCACACACAGGCGGTTCCTTTTAACTAACTCCTTTCCTGCCTCGCGTGAAACCAACGATTTGTTCGAAAATTTCAATCGACGATCAGTCAAAAATTTGCCCGAAATTTAGATTTTTAATCGCTTTTGAAGTTCAATGAAAAAAAACTAATTTTCCCCTGTATATTGTCTACTGAAGTTGTATAACCGAAATGATTCATTTTAATCTTCTAAGCATTAAACCATAAATCGGCCAAATATTGAAGTTTAACCCATACATTCATTTAGAAACGCAACCGCAGAACACACAATTCATCTGAAGTGAAAATCACAAAGAACATTGACCATGTTATAAAAAATACCGCTAAATAGAAATATTCTGGAAACTAAAATGGGACTCGATCCCATGACCTCCCTCTGATTGAAGGGCGCTCTCCCAACTGAGCTACGAAGAATCCCAAATATTTCAAAAATAGCAGATTAATTACTCAGGTTATTCCTTGTAATTCCATTCCTGTCTCGCGTGTTAACGTAAAACCAATGAAATTTTTGCAAATTCCAATGAACAATCGGTCAAAAAGTTGCACGAACATTTGATGGGACTCTCACCTCGCAGTTGAAAATCCTGGCAACATACAATCCGCACAAATGATAGGGAAAATTTTCAGAATTCAGCGCGACCGTAATTTGAAATCCAGAAATACGTAATTGATCCTCCGAATCGATTCAAATAAACTACAGATTGAAGTTTATATCGAATATGTTTTAATCCCCAAACCGAACGCTCACCCCGAAAGTGGAATGCCAATAAACAGCTTATTCAAATGCCAAACCCGGCCTCTCCGGGTCAGGTCTAACACCCTGGCGAGAGACCGTGGGCCCGTGATTTGACACAAGAATAAGCCATTTTATCGTCTTTCCCTTTCACGGGATAAATGTCTGGTTTCAGTATCAGGCATATTCGAAATAGTTTTCAACCTACAATCATCTTATCAATATCGAGGAATAAATGAGAACAATCCAGCATCTGTACCCATATAAATGTCGTGTATCAATTCCGAAAAATTGGATATTACAACCAAAAAAATATTTCAGAACAAAGTTCCGAGCAAAATATCAAACCCAAATTCTGAAGCCGACGGTATAGTGACAAAAAACTCATATTCTGGTATGAAATTTCATGCCATTAGCAAAAATTCATTATTTTCTAATTTAATCTATAGCTATATTAAATTCATTGTTGGATTAAGGTTGCAATATGTGTGGTAAAAATAATACTTGAAATTGGAATTAACTTACTATACTAACATTTTAGATTTATCACTACAAAAAAAAAAATAATTTAAATAAATTTAAAATCAGGTTTTGTGACCCACCCCTAAAATATAAAAACTATTTAAGCCTAAATAATACTATTTCTAAATTATAAAAAAAAATAAAATAAAAAAAAGTATTGCTGGAAAATTATTTGTTGGTGCCAGCAACGGTAACGGTGCTGGCGCCACCAATAAGTCTTGGCGAGATCGGTCTAGGCGAGTTGAGCAAGGGGATTCCAGTTGACCTCTTAGCAGCAGCAACCTAAACATAAATTTATGAAATTTATAAGTAGCAAAAATATATTTCTCCACGGATAAAGTTGAACTGATAAGACAGATCTATCTAGCGATGCTAAACTCTAAATAAATCCAATCCTGCCTAAAAATCGTGTTCCGAATGCTTGAACCAAACTATGTCAATGAAGACCTATCATTTCTTTACCAGGCACCATTTAAAAATCTAAATTCCTGTTTGGACTACGTTAGAATTCCACAACGTTCTGTCGACTTGCAGGCGCATTTATTCTAAGCTCACACTTCTAACTTACTCGTCTAGCCTCAAGATATTTGTTCCTGTCCATCATATCTTCAACGTGCTTTGCCCATCTCATGGTAATATCAAGGTGCTCTTTCTGGTGTTCTGTCACTGTAGCCTTGAAACTAGCAAGTTCCTCTTTCAGTGCCTTGAGTGTAACAGTCAACGTATGATTTATTTTGGAATATAAGCATGTAACCTACTGTCCTGCCCGTTCTACGTTCAACTCATCATTTTTGCTTTTTGAAATCTCGCAATATACCAACTCAACTTAAGTTGCTTCCTTTTAATTTTATTTGAGGAATGTATATCTAGTTTAAGATTTGGTGTTCCCGTAGTATGTGAACCAAGATGACGAACATCGGAACGTAGTATGTGTAACAAGTTAGGGTTAGGCCATAATTTTATTCCAATTTTAGTTTTATCACGAGGTTGGGGACTAGCCAAGTGACTGCCGTAGTCTTTGTGCCTTAAATTACGGCCTACCCCTAACCTGGCACACATACTACGTTCCGGTGTCTGCCACCTTGGTTCACATACTACGGGAGTACCGAAAATTTAATACAAACCCATAAACAATAACGAAGTGATCATTTTGTAAGATAAAAAGTAAAAAAACTGACCTTTTTTTCCTCAGCAATCATCTCCAACTTTGCCTCAAGCACAGCAAGTTTGGCATCAACAAGTTTGGTAGTGTTAACGGCCAGCAAGCGAAGGTTCTCAATCTGGTGAAAACATGGATATGATTTAGAAGCAGTGGTTCCCAATCTTACCCAACCTATAAATTTCTCCCTTTGCCTTCCTAACTACTTTATTTATTCAATCTCTAATGGATCCTTAGATAGTGCTACGCACGCGCGCCTGGTCTGCTGTATTACCGCGATTCGATGGCCGAATGACATTTTCCCTAACTGATCGGTTCTTATCAATGATGATCACCCTATGGCTATGATTCAGAGGCCGAATAACGTTCCGGTTTACCTTCAAATGCAGATTTACGCTCGGACGACCGCTATTTTCACAAGACACAGTGCTAAAAATTTTGTACAGCACATTTTGTTTTTCCGCGTGGGATAGTTTTGAATGAGTATGGCTCCTCTATAGTTATGAGGCAATGGTCGAATAGGCTATTATTTTTCTCCGACGGACCTAAAAGTTTCGATTTTAGTATAAATGCAAATTAGTGTTCTGGCAACCGCATTATTCATAAAATTTAATGTTACGAATTTTGTATGTCAAATTTATTTTTCCGTGTGGGAAGGATTTTAATGACTATGGCCTGCTCTGTAGATGATGAGATCAGATAGTACTATTTCTAACTTCCGCATTCCTGCTTTGAGTATAAATTAGAATAACTCTGACAACCTGCTAACAAACAAGATGCTCTGACAAAAACAGTTTTGTGTCTGTGTAACAAAATCTCCAAGATCTGATATTGAGAATTGTTAATGGGACTTTTTTAATTTTCCCCGTGGGATGAATTTTCAATGGCTAAGATATACAAAACTATATCGTTACAAGGTAAGTCGCGTAACAATATTATTTAACTCAACAGTTGCGATATGAATACAAATGCAGATTTATAACCAAACAAAAGCATCCATCATCAGAGGTAATGTTGAAAAAATTCCAAGTCACTTTTTATTTTTCCGCGTGGGATGGACTTTGAATGGCTAAGATATACTAAAACTATACCGTTACGAGTAAAGTCGCGTAACACTATTATTTAACTCAACAGTTGCGATATGAATACAAATGCAGATTTATAACCAAACAAAAGCATCCATCATCAGAGGTAATGTTGAAAAAATTTCCAAGTCACATTTTATTTTTCCGCGTGGCATGGATTTTAAATGACTACGCTACACTGAAACTATACCGTTACGAGTAGAAAGTTGAATAACAGTAATATTCAATACAACAATTACGATATGAATACAAATGCAGGTTTATGCCCAAATGAAAGCACCCATCATCATAGGTGATGTTGAAAAAATTCCCAATCACTTTTTATTTTTCCGCGTGGGATGGATTTTGAATATTCAGGATACACTGAAACTATACCGTTACAAGTTAAAAGTCAAAAAACACTATTATTCAACTCAACTGTTACGTTATGAATACAAATGCATAAATGTGTCCAAATGAAAGCATCACATCACAGGTAATGTTAAAAAATTCCAAGCCACTTTTTATTTTTCCGCGTGGGATGGATTTTGAATGATTAGAGTATACACTGACACTATACTGTTATGAGTTAAAAGTTGAATAACATTATTATATAACTCAACAGTTACGATACGAATACAAATGCACATTTGGGCTCAAATGAAAGCATCCATCATCAGAGGTAATGTTGAAAAAATTTTAAG